CCTGGGTTCAAGGCAATTCTCCTGCCTCAGCCTCCAGAGTAGCTGGGATCACAGGCATGTGCCACCATGCCCAGCTAATTTTAAAAAAATTTTTAGTAGAGACTGAGTTTCACCATATGTCTCGAACTCCTGACCTCATGATATGCCTGCCTTGGCCTCCCTAAGTGCTGGGATTACTGGCATGAGCCATCGTGCTGGGCCATGGGACTTACCTTATTTTAGAGCACGTGACCCCAAGGAGAGCAGGGTTGCCCCCCGTGGGGCAAAACCTTGTTCTTGGGGAGTGAAAAAGTCATAGCTGTTACAATAACTGTGGCCCTCCATAAGCCCATAAGCTCCATAAGCTCCATCATGCCACATAAACATAATCTAGGCAGTATTCCTGTGGATTAATATTTCAGGGGGAGGGGATTTTGTGAAAAAATGTCTTTAAAAGATGACTTATTGGCCGGGCACAGTGGCTCATGCCTGTAATCCCAGGACTTTGGGTCCAAGGTGGGCATATCCCGAGGTCAAGAGTTCAAGACCAGCCTGACCAAAATGGTGAAACCCCTTCTGTACTAAAAATACAAAAATTAGCCGGGTGTGGTGGCATGTGCTTGTAATCACAGCTACTCTGGAGGCTGGGGCAGAAGAATTGCTTGAACCTGGGAGACAGAGGTTGCAGTAAGCTGAGATCATGCCACTACACTCAGCCTGGGCAAAAGAATAAAACTCTTGTCTCAAAAAAATAAAATTACATTTAAAAGACTTTTCAGGGGTTGATAATGAAAGAAAGGTTGAGAAACATGTTTAGGGTAAAGAACTATTCCCATGTATGTCTAGATAGCTCATTTAGGATACTAAGATACTTTCAGAAGTTGGATTTAAAAAAAAAAAAAAAAACCTTTGCTGGGCAGAGTGGCTCACACTGGTAATCCCAGCCCTTTGGGAGGCTAAGGTGGGTGGATCACAAAGTCAAGAGGTTGTAACTATCCTGGCTAACACAATGAAACCCCATCTCTACTAAAACTTTTAAAAAAAATTAGCCAGGCTGTTGTGCCACACACCTGTAGTCCCAGCTACTCAGGAGGCTGAGGCAGGAGAATCGCTTAAACCCTAGAGACTAAGGTTGCAGTGAGCTGAGATCATGCCACTGCACTCTAGCCTAGGCAACAAGAGTAAAACTGTCTCAAAAAAAGAGAAAAAAACTTTGACTGGTTGTGGTGGCTCACAGCTGTTATCCCAGCTCTTTGGGAGGCTGAGGTGGGTGGGTCACCTGAAGTCAGGAGTTTGAGACCAGCCTGGCCAACATGGCAAAACCCTGTCTCTACTAAAAATACAAAAAATTAGCCAGGTGTGGTGACGGATGCCTGTAAGCCCAGCTACCTGGAAGGCTGAGGCAAAATTGCTTGAACCTGTGAGGCAGAGCTTGCAGTGAGCTGAGATCATGCCATTGCACTCCAGCGTGGGTGACAGAGCAAGACTTTGTCTCAAACAAACATACAAAAAACTTTTATGGTGGAAAATTCCTAATATGCAAAAGCAGGATAATGGTACAAAACTGCCATCTGGCCAGATGTAGTAGCTCATTCCTTTAATCCCAGCACTTTGGGAGGCCAAGGTGGGCAGATCACCTGCAGTTGAGAGTTCAAGACCAGCCTGGCCAACATGGTGAAACCTCATCTCTACTAAAAATACAAAAATTAGCCAGGCGTGGTGGTGCATGCCTGTAATCCCAGCTACTGGGGGAGCTGAGGCACAAGAATCACTTGAACCCAGGAGGCGGAGTTTGCAGTGAACTGAGAGTGAATGCACTGCACTCCACTCTAGGTGACAGAGCAGGACTCCATCTCAGAAAAAAACAACACAAAACAAAAAACAACAACAAAAAAGCTGCCATTTACCCCTAGAAGCAAAAGCAACTCAGAGCCACATTTATTTCATTAATACCTCACCTTCTGCCATCCCTGATTATTTTGAAAAATTGAGCAGCTATATTTTTCATAGGTAAATATTTCAGCATTAATCTCTAAAAAATAAAAATAAACTACAGGCACAGGCTATTAAAGCAGTCTTCAATATTACTTTGCCTGGGGTAAATAACTGGGGTTTGTTGTCTGGCACCAGGAAAATTTAGGACACAGACACACAAGAAGTTGAGCAGAGGTTTGATAGGCAAAAGAAAGAGAAAAGAAAACAGCTCACTCTCTAGTGAGAAAGAGGAAAAGACTCCATCCTGGGTAACAAGAGCGAAACTCTGTCAAAAAGGAAAAATGATGGGGTCTTACTCTATCACCCAGGCTGGATCATAGCTCACTGTAGCCTCAAACTCTTGGGCTCAAGTGATCCATCTCAGTCTCTCTACAGCTGGGATTGCAGGAACACACCACTACTCCTGACTAATTTTTTTTTTTTTAATAGAAATTTGGTCTTATTTTGTTGCCCAGGCTTTCTCAAACTCCTAGCTTCAAGCAGTCCTCCCACCTTGGCCTCCCAAAGGTGCTTTTATGACAGGTGTAAGTAAGCCACTATGCCTGGCCTTACTGAGTTCTTTTGATATGGCCTTGCTGATGTTTGATAGTTTCCCTTCTCATGTGTCAAGATGGTCAAGTTACTTCTGTACCTTTCTTACCACAGGCTTGGAAATCTGCCATTTCATAAGTTGGATCTTTTCTTTTTTTCCTTTTTTTTTTTTTTTAAGAGACAGGGTTTCACCATGTTCGCCAGGATGGTCTCGATCTCTCGACCTCATGATCTGCCCTCCTCAGCCTCCCAAAGTGCTGGAATTACAGGCATGAGCCACCGCACCTGGCCAAGTTGGATCTTTTCTTAAAATCTTTCACTTTAGAATATTTCAGATATAGCTGGGCACAGTGGGTCACGCCTGTAATGCCAGCACTTTGGGAGGCTAAGGTGGGTGGATCATGAGGTCAGGAGATCAAGACCATCCTGGCCAACATGGCAAAAGCCTGTCTCTACTAAAAATACAAATATTACATGGGTGTGGAGGCCCATAGCTGTAGTCCCAGAACTTGGGAGGGTAAGGTATCTCTTATTTATTTATTTATTTTTGGAATGGAGTCTCGCTGTGTCACGAGGCTGGAGTGCAGGGGTGTGATCTTGGCTCACTGCAACCTCCGCCTCCTGGGTTCAAACGATTCTCCTGCCTCAGCCTCCCAAGTAGCTGGAGACTACAGGCACCCACCACCATGCCTGGCTGATTTTTTTTTATTTTTAGTAGACACAGGCTTTCACCACGTTGGGCAGGCTGGTTTGAACCCCTGACCTCAGGTGATCTACCCACCAGGGCCTCCCAAAGTGCTGGGATTACAGGTGTGTGCCACCACACCCACCCTGTAGTATGCATTTCTAAAGAGAAAGAATCTTTTTTAAAAATGCCATAATCATCACAGTTTTTAAAAATCTAATAGTAAGTCATTAATAGCATCAGGTAAATTAAATGTCTTAACAGTTTTTATTGAGGTAAAATTGATATACACCTACTTAAAATGTGTGATGTGATAAGTTTTGACATATGCACACCCATGAAACCATCACTACAATCAAGATAGGGAACATTCCTGTCACTCCCAGAAGTTTCCTTCTGGCCCTGTTAAGCCTTCCCTCCCAGCCCTCTCTATTACAACAGGGATGCAGTGATCTCCACTGGACACTGGGGATTTAATTTGCGTTTCTCACTTAATTTGCATTCACATGCTTATTTGCCATCCTTCTCTCTTCTGTGGTAAGTGCTCATTTTATTTTGATGCTATTAAGAATCGAATAAATTGAATTTTTTTTTTTTTTGAGACAGTTTTTCTGCTGTTGCCCAGGCTGGAGTGCAATGGCACAATCTCAGCTCATTGCCACCTGTGCCTCTCAGGTACAAGCAATTCTCCTACCTCAGCCTCCTGAGTAGCTGGGATTACGGGCACCCCCCCACCACACCTGGCTAATTTTTGTATTTTTAGTAGAGATGGGATTTCATCATATTGATCAGGCAGGTCTTGATCTGACCTCAGGTGATCCACCCGCCTCAGCCTCCTAAAGTGATGGAATTACAGGCCTGAGCCACCACATCCGGCCTGGCCTCTTTTTTTTTCTTTTTTTAAGAGTCTGGGTCTTAGGTAGCATGGTAGCTCAGACCTATAATACTAGCACTTTGAGAGGCCTAAGCAGGTAGATCATCTGAGGTCAGGAGTTTGAGACCAGCCTGGCCAACACAGTAAAACCCCATTTCTACTAAAAATACAAAAATTAGCCAGACCTGGTGACACTCACTTGTAATCCCAGCTACTCAGGGGGCTGAGGCAGGAGAATTGCTTGAACCCGGGAAGTGCATGTTGCCATGAGCCAAGAATGTGCCACTGCGACAGAGTGAGACTCCATTTTTTTTTTAGACCAATTCTCACTCTGTTGCCCAGGCTGGAGTTCAGTGGTGCGATCTGTGCTCAATGAAACCTCCACCTCCCAGGTTCAAGTGATTCTCCTGCCTCAGTCTCCCGAGCAGCTGGGACTACAGGCATGTATCACCATGCCCAGCTAATCTTGTTTTTTGAGATGGAGTCTCACAATGTTGCTTGGGCTGGAGTGCAATGGTACAATCTTGGCTTACTGCAGCTTCTGCCTCCCAGGTTAAAGCGATTCTCCTGCCTCACCCTCTTGAGTAGCTGGGATTACAAGCACCCACCACCATGGCCGGCTAATTTTTTGTGTTTTTAGTAGAGGCGGGATTTTACTATGTTGGCCAGGCTGGTCTAGAACTCCTGACCTCATGATCTGCCCACCTCGGCCTCCCGAAGTGCTGGCATTACAGGCATGAGCCCTGCCAAGATTGGATCTTTACACAATGTAAACCCAAAATGTGGATTATTTGGCCTTTTCTTGCCATTCATTCATACATTGTACATACCATGCAGAAAGGCTGATGGCAACAAGCAAGAGATGGGAAGGAGCGTGGGCAGCCAACTGGCTGTCATGGTTGTAATGTGGCCCTGTGCTATTATCCTCCTCTGCAGGCTGTGAACCCAGGCAGGTCCCTGTTCCTGCTATATGCCCTCAAGAGCTCCCCCAGGCTGGGTCTGCTCTACCTGTACCTGTTTGACTACACAGACACCTTCCTGCCCTTCATCCATACTATCTGCCCTCTGCAAGAAGACAGCTCTAGGGAGGACATCATTACCAAGCTTCTGGTAGGTCTGCACTGTGCCTGGAATAAAGTTATTACACTGTTGAGTTATTTGCAGAGATTGCTACCCACCATGGGTGCCATGTTTCTTCAGTTTGACCCATGAATTCCTTCAGAACATCTGGTAGGTCATTTGAGAGTGATATCCTTTGCTTTGCTACTCTTGGGGCCGATCCTTCTGACCTGTTCATATCAAATCACATGGATAGAGGAATCATCAAATATAATCTACACCCATAAATATTGAAACAAAATTTCGAAATCTCCAAAGATCTTTATTCCCCCCCCACCCCCCAAGACCCTTGTAAACACTACAATGAAGTGCCTGGCTGACTGGTTTCAGCCTTGAGTATAGTTTGAAGCTTGCTTAATCAGCTCCCTTGCACAGTCCTCCTCTAATTACCTAGTTTCCACTTGCTGTTAATCTCACCAGAGTGGCTATGCAGAGAACCTGACCTTTATTTTGATTGATTGATTGATTGATTGATTGAGACAGGGTCTCACTCTCCAAGGCTGGAGTGCAGTGGCACAATCACAGCTCACAGCAGCCTCAACCTCCTGGGCTCAAGTGATCCTCACGCCTCAGACTCCCAAGTAGCTGGGATTATAGGGGAGTACCACCACCCAGCTAATTTTTGCATTTTTTTGCAGAGACAGGGTTTCACCATGTTGCTCAGGCTGGTCTTGAACTCCTGAATTCGAACATTCCTCCCACCTTGCCATCCCAAAGTGTTGGGATTATAGACATGAGCCACTGCACCTGGCACCCAACTCTTCAATTTTAACCATCTCCAATAGCCCCTGCCTCTTCATCAGGCGAAAAAAAATTTTTTTTTTTGAGAAGGGGTCTCACTGTATCGCCCAGGCTGGAGTGCAATGGCATGATCTTGGCTGACCACAACCTCTGCCTCCTAGCTTCAAGCAATTCTCCTGCCTTAGCCTCCCGAGTAGCTGGGATTATAGGCACGTGCCTCCACACCCAGCTAATTTTTGTATTTTTAGTATAGATGGGGTTTCACCATATTGGGCAGACTGGTCTCGAACTCCTGACCTAGTGATCTGCCCATCTCAGCCTCCCAAGGTGCTGTGATTATAGGCGTGAGCCACTGCACTTGGCCTCATCAGGCTAATTTTTTATCTGCTAATGCTTGTAGTTAAAAAGTTTCTCCTCCCACCAGCACAAAAAAATTACTTTGGAGGGAGGAGGGAATGGTTGTAATTTTCCCACAAACTACCATTATTCTGCCATAGCTGATGTAGAATCTAGGAAATGGCTCAAGCTACCTATGCAGTGATTGGAGAGTAAAACACTGGCTAATTTAAATTTATTTCAGTTTGTTCATAATTCATACTTAGATTTTTTCCTTCTGAGCTTCCACAAGTATGTGACAAACATTTCATTTCAACGTTTTTGCTAACATTTACTTAATTTAAGATTAATTACAGCTGGGTGCAGTGGCTAATGCCTGTAATCCCAGCACTTTGGGAAGCAGAAGTGGACGGATCACCTGAGGTCAGGAGTTAGAGACCAGCCTGGCCAACATGATGAAACCTTTTCTCTACTAAAATACAAAAATTAGCCGGGTGGGTATGTTGGTGCATACCTTTAATCTCAGCTACTCAGGAAGCTGAGACAAGAGAATCACTTGAACCTGGGAGGTGGAGGTTGCAGTGAGCCAAGATAGTACCACTGCACTCCAGTCTGGACAACACAGCAAGACTCTGTCTCAGAAAAAAAAAAAAAAGATGAATTATTATAAGATGAGTTGCTGGATGGAAATTTCATTCTTGATTGTTGGATGTATGTGTATGTTTGTTTGTTTGGAGATGGGGTTTCACTCTTGTCACGCAGGTTGGAGTGCAATGGCGAGACCTTGGCTCACTACAACTTCTGCCTCCCAGGTTCAAGCCATTCTCCTGCCTCAGCCTCCCAAGTAGCTGAGATTACAGGCATGTGCCATGACACCCAGCAAATTTTTTTGGTATTATTAGTAGAGACGGGGTTTCACCATGTTGGCCAGGCTAGTCTCAAACTCCTGACCTCAGGTGATCCACCTGCCTTGGCCTCCCAAAGTGCTGGGATTTTAGGCATGAGCCACCATGACCAGCCGTGTGTGTGTGTTTTAATCAATGTAGAATTCACTGTGATTATCACAACTTTATTATTTTTTTTTTTTAGACAGAGTCTCCCTCTGTCACCCAGGGTAGAGTGCAGTGGTGTGATTTCAACTCACTGCAACCTCCTCATCCCTGGTTCAAGCTATTCTCCTGCTTCAGCCTCCAAAGTAGCTTAGGATTACAGGCACCTACCACCATGCCTGGCTAATTTTTGTGTTTTGGGTAGAGACGATGTTTCACCTTGTTGGCCAGACTGGTCTTGAATGCCTGACCTCAGGTGATCCACCTCCCTAGGCCTCTGAAAGTACTGGGATTACAGGTGTAAGCCACTGTGCTCAGCCTGAGCATCACAATATTTTGTGTAAAATTCAGTCCTCATGACTTTTTGCGTCTGTTGTGTTGTTTTTCAAGGATCTTAAGGAGCCTACGTGGAAGCAGTGGAGAGAGTTCCTGGTCAAATACTCCTTCCTTCCATACCAGCTGATTGCCGAGTTTGCTTGGGACTGGCTGGAGGTCCATTACTGGACATCACGGTTTCTCATCATCAATGCTATGTTACTCTCAGTTCTGGAATTATTCTCCTTTTGGAGAATCTGGTCGAGAAGTGAACTGAAGTAAGTACATTTTAATGGTTGTCATAACAGGGGATAGGAAAGAAATACCAAGTGAAGGAAAGATCCTCTTTGAAGTATTTCTCAAACTTGAAATAAATCCTCCATCCATCCAGACCCTTCATACTGGGTTGAGAAACCCAGCTTCAGTAGTGAATAGGACAATTACCTTCTGTTTTGGGGGTGGAGTTGTGGTGCTCATTGTTAAAAGTATTTTTCTGTATATCGTACCTTTATGCAATGACATACCATTTAATTTCAGGGGGAGGGGTTTAAAGGATTTTAATAATCAAGGAATAAGCAAATGAGTAGAAAAGTTCTGTTTAAAGGTAGGCAGCCCTGTGCTAACCTACTCCCTAAATCAGGAAGCCGAGAGGCTAAAGAAAGAAGCTGACAAATTCAGTTTCTCAGAAAGAAACATTTAATAAGGCCTTGCAAACAGAAGCCCTGTCTGTGTCTTGGGTGGTAGTGAGACAAGATGTTGGATAACCAGACCCAGGGCTTGTATACGTAGGGAAGGGGCATACCTGCTTCAGAAGGGATGTGCAGAACAATTGCTTAGGGTCAAGGTTTATGTGAAGAACATCAAGAGAACATCAAGTCTGTTTAACCTAAGGCCAGGATTTACGTGAAGTATGTGCTCTTACACAAGAAACAATAGATAAACCAGAGATCTTAGAGGCTTCCCTGAAACCAGAGTTAATGCACAGTCACCATGCCACCATGCCCAATTAGCATCCAATATGGAGTTGCTTTGGTCTCCACAGGGTGCTTTATAGAAAATGGCAGTACGGTAGAGCATATAGAGATCTCATAGGGATTTCTGTAGGCATGAGTTCTAATCCTGATCTGCCACCAACTAGGATAATAACTTAGGCTTCAAGCGTGGCTGGACCCTGAGACCCAAACGCTGACTCTTTCTCTGTCCCTCACAGCACTGTTCTTGTGTTCTCTGCTTCAGGCAGCTCTCTTCCTGTGGGGGCCCTTGGCTACTCCACTCCAGGTTTTGATCTGTGCAGCCTAGCAAACCTCCAGAAAGAAAGCACTTCCTTCCCCGTGGCACTCGAAGAGGTCTCAGGGCTCACACGCCTTTGTTCTGATGGACCCAAACCTGGGTCCCATGCCCACTGCAATCTGTCACCCCAATCCTGTGGTGCTACCCCAGGCCTTGGGCATGGGCTCACCCCACAACCAGAGGCTGGCTTCAGCCTTACCCAGACCACATGGAAAAGAACAAAGGAGAGAGAATCACAAAAAACTTAGAAGCTGTTGCCAGGCATGGTGGTTCACACCTGTCATCCCAGCACTTTGGGAGGCCAAGGCAGGTGGATCATCTGAGGTCAGGAGTTTGAAACCAGCCTAGCCAACATGGTGAAACCTCATCTCTACCAAAAATGCAAAAATGAGTCAGGTGTGATGGTGGGCACCTGTAATCCCAGTTACCTAGGTGGCTGCAGCAGGAGAATCACTTGAACTCAGGAGACAGAGGTTGCAGTGAGCCAAGATCCCACCACTGTACTCCAACCTGGGCAACAAAGTGAGATTCTGTCTCAAAAAAAAAAAAAAATCTTAGAAGCTGTTTCCAGAAGAAAAGGATAGTATCTGGACAGGCAGAAGTAACTGCCACCCTTGCAGCCTTCCATCTTGACATTCTGTGACTCGAAGCCTTATGAATGGTTCTGAGAACCCAGCAATCTCCCTCACCTTTCCAGTGGTGACTCACTAGGTAAAAATAAAAAAAGAATCTCCCTCATTTCTTTCCATTCGGCAAACTCACTTATTTATACACAATATGCATGTTTATGCCCCTGCTGTACTCCTGGTTCTCTGCTGGGCATGGCAGATCTTTTGGTAAAGAAGACAGTCTATACTGTGAAGGCCTACAGCCTAGCAGAGAAAATATGTATGTTAAAAAATAGATGGCCAGAGGCCGGGCACAGTGACTCACTATTTCAGCACTTTGGGAGGCCGAGATGGGCAGATCATGAGATCACAAGATCGAGACCATCCTGGCCAACATGGCGAAACCTCATCTCTACTAAAAATACAAAAATTAGCTGGTGGCACACACCTGTAGTCCCAGCTACTCAAGAGGTTGAGGCAGGAGAATCTTTTGAACCCGGGAGGCAGAGGTTGCAGTGAGCCGAGATCGAGCCATTGTACTCTAGTACTTCAGCCTGGGCAACAGAGCAAGGCTCTGTCTCAAAAAAATAAAAATAGAAAAAATAAATAAATAGATGGCCAGGCATGGTGACTCATGCCTGTAATCCCAGCACTTTAGCAGGCTAGAGGATTGCTTCAGGCCAGGAGTTCAAGTCCAGCCTGTGCAATGTGGCAAAACCCCTTCTCTATTAAAAATTAAAAAACTAGCAAAAAATAATAAAATTTTAAAATCACTCAATGTGCTCACAACAAAAAAGAAAAAAGATAAATAAAAAAACTAACTGGGTGAGGCAGTGCACACCTATAGTCCCAGCTACTTGGATAGTTGAGGTGGGAGGATTCCCTAAGCCCAGGAGTTAGAGACCAGCCTGGGTAACATAGCAAGACCTTGTCTCTACTAAAAGTAAAAAAATTGAAAATTAAAAAAGAAAAAGCCAGGTGTGGTGATGTGTGCCTGTGATCCCAGCAACTCAGGAGAATCACTTGAGACCTGGAGGTTGAGGCTGCTGTTGGCACATTTGCACCACTGCCCTCCAGCCTGAGCAAAGGAATGAGACCCTGTCACAAAAAAAAAAAAAAAAAAAAAAATAGATGTAAGTGTAACAAAGTGATGAAGCAGGTGAAGTTGAGGCTATCACAGGGAGGCCTCATCCGGTGTGAGGACCAAGAAGCTCCCTCTTGGTGATGTCCTGGGAGTTAAAGATAGGTTGAGTAGGCGCCTCAGGCACTGGGGACAGAAGACAAGGCCATTCAGCACGGGCAGCCACACGAGAGCACCGAGAAAGGGCCCAGGGCCCGGACTCCTGGGTGTGGTCGTGAGACATGCCTCCAGTTTAGCCTCTGAACTGTAATCCCAGCTACTCGTGCCTGTAATCCCTTGCTTCTCTTCTTGTTTCAGGACTGTGCCTCAGCGGATGTGGAACCATTTCTGGAAAGTATCAACGCAGGGGCTTTTCGTGGCCATGTTCTGGCCCCTCATCCCTCAGTTTGTTTGCAACTGTTTGTTTTACTGGGCCCTGTACTTTAACCCAATTATTAACATTGATCTTGTGGTCAAGGAAGTCCGGCGTCTGGAAACCCAAGTGTTGTGACTGGCACTGCCCAGTCTCAGACTCTTCAAGTCCCAGTGGTGTCTGAGGTTTGATGCTTAAGCGGGGTGAGGCAGGGAGCGGAATTCCTATTTTCTACCCCCAGTAAAACAAGGTGCTGCTTTGTATGTCAAACGCTCCAACCATGTCCTTCCCCCTCGGCCTGTGGGTAGCGTCATCAGGGACTGACATCTTGCAGGGAGGACTGTCTGTTTGGCTGACACAGCAGCAGCCCTGCCCACCCAGCTACCTTCCTCACAGGGACTGGGAGGTTCAGTCCCCAACGGCTGGCAAGACTCAGGGTCCTCAGTGGACACGGTGTGGGTGACATCAGATGGGTGCCACATCAGTCCCCTCCCCAATGTCAGTGACTGACAGAGGATCCCGGATCTCGGAGCCCGGGACCAGGCTTGTGGGGTCCTGGCCTGTCCTCTGAGTCAAGTTTAGGAAAACAAGGATAAGATTCTGTCATAGGCATAGAGAGTTGCACATAAAAAATACAGAAGAATGATGCTATATATGATACAAAGCTCATCAAAAATAAAAAAATAAAAAAAACTGGGCCGGGCGCAGTGGCTCACGCCTGTAATCCCAGCACTTTGGGAGGCCAAGGTGGGTGGATCACGAGGTCAAGAGATCGAGACCATCCTGGTCAACATGGTGAAACCCCATCTCTACTAAAAATACAAAAATTAGCTGGGCATGGTGGCGCGTGCCTGTAATCCCAGCTACTTGGGAGGCTGAGGCAGGAGAATTGCTTGAACCCAGGAGGCGGAGGTTGCAGTGAGCTGAGATCGCGCCATTGCACTCCAGTCTGGGTAACAAAAGGGAAACTCCATCTCAAAAAAAAAAAAAAAAAACTGAAGAAAACCCAAAAGTCAGTCAATTCTGTCTTATTGAAGAGTTGCTAGGATTCAGAGTAAAAACCTCTCAAAGCATTCAGTTGGAGCCTAGCGATGATTAGACTTAGTCACTGCGCTTGTTTTTGTTTTGCTTTATGGAAGTCGTTGAAGGTCTAGATCCCTTTCTCCGAATGGAGAGATTGAGAGGGATGTCAGACAGTGCATGGAAGGCAGTTCCTATTAGATTGAGTGGCCTCCATGCTATTTAAAATTGTGGCGGTGTCTCATGCCTGTAATCCCAGCACTTTGGGAGGGTGAGGCCGGCAGATCACTAGAAGCTAGGACTTCGAGACCAGTTTGGCCAACATGATGAAACCATGCCTCTGCTAAAAATACAAAAATTAACCAGGTGTGGTGGTACACACCTGTAATCCCAGCTGCTTAGAATTGGAAATCGCCTAAACCCAGGAGGCGGAGGTTGCAGGGCGCGAGACTGCACCCCTGCAGTCTATCCTGGGTGGCTGTGGAAGTCGGTCTCCAAACAAAACAAAATTCATCTGTAAAAGAAATTCCAGGATAGTCCTTTTGTTTAAGGAAACATTTTGTAAATTGACCTCACACTGTATAATCTTTATTGTCCTATCCTGATGTATAGAACAGCAGGTATAATTACACCAAGTGCTATAATTGTAAATATGGAATGAGGTGAACTATAGCCTTTTATTTCCTTACAGTGTGAACACAGCAAGTGTGAGATGTCATCTAGGAAGACTGGCCTTGCAGAAATAGGCCTGCATCGAAAATATTCTCTTGTGACTTCGCAAACCATTCATTAACCCTTTGTATCTTTGAGTGAAGATTTTATTCAAACTTTGCATCTGGAAGTTTGAAGAAATTACTTGAAATAAAAATAAAGATTTTTATACAGATAAAACCTATATGTAGAGAAAAAGCGATTTTCTAGAAAATACACAGAAAAAAACTGCATTGCTGAATAGAGTCTCCCAGTCATAGGTCAAGTATGGTTCACGCCTTTCATCCCAGCACTTTGGGAGGTCGACGCAGATGGATCATTTGAGGTCAGGAGTTCGAGACCAGCCTAGCCAACATGGTGAAACCCTGCCTCTACTGAAAATAGAAAAATTAGCCAGGTGTGGTAGCGCACACCTGTAGTCCCAGCTACTTGGAACACTGAAGCAGGAGAATCACTTGAACCCGGGAGGCAAAGGTTGCAGTGAGCCAAGATCAAGCCACTGCACTCCATCTGGGTGACAGAGCAAGACTCAGCTCAATAAAAAAAAAAAAAAAATCAAGTGCAGTGGCTCACGCCTGTAATTCCAGCACTTTGGGAGGCCAAGGTGGATGGATCACGAGGTTAGGAGATCAAGACCATCCTGGCTGACACAGTGAAACCCCATCTCTACTAAACATTCAAAAAATTAGCTGGCTGTGTGGTATGCTCCTGTAGTCCCAGCTGCTTGGGAGGCTGAGGCAGGAGAATCACTTTAATCCGGGAAGCCAAGGTTGCAGTGAGCTGAGATTGCACCATTGCCCTCTAGCTAGGGTGACAGAGTGAAACTCTGTCTCAGAAAAAAAAAAAAAATCCTCTAGACATGCTTAAATCCTCCAGCCTGACGCAAATATTAAGCCAAGGAGCCACCCTAAGGGAAAATGTTTTTTTTCCCTCATTGTGTGTTCCCATCAAGCCCCAGGGCTGCTTGACTTGACCTATTTAAAGCTAGTGACCTCCCACGGACATGGCAGTGTTTGTAAATCCCTGGTCTCATGCCTTCCAGGGGTTGCCAGAATCCTCCTTTACAGGTGAATAGATGGAGGCTGGCTGGCAAAACTTGCCGAGCTGGTGCTGGCTGGCTTTAGCAGAGCTGGGCCTGGGTCACCCACCTCCACCCCATGGCTTTCTACACTGTCCCCACCTGCTCCCACATCCTGCTTCAAAGATGAGTAATACCCAGATTTGCTCCAGGACTAGGGCAAAGACCTGGCCTAGAGCAAACAGGCGGGGCAGGAGCTGACTCCTTATTGCCTGCAGGAGGGACGGGCACCCTCAGATCAAGGGCCACAGGCTGCCTCACAATCAGCAGGATGGGTATTTCTAAGGGGGGTGTCTAAAACAGTCCTGGCTGGGTGCGGTGGCTCATGCTTATAATCCTAGCACTTTGGGAGGCTGAGGTGGGTGGATCATCTGAGGTCAGGATTTCAAGATAAGCCTGGGCAATATGGTGAAACCCTGTTTCTACTAAAAATACAAAAAAATTGGCTGGGCAAGGTGGCTCACGCCTGTAATCCCAGCACTTTGGGAGGTTGAGGCAGGTGGATCACAAGGTCAGGAGTTTGAGACCAGCTTAGCCAACATGGTGAAATCCCGTCTCTACTAAAAATAAAAAAATTAGCTGAGTTTGGTGGCAGACACCTGTAATCCCAGGTACTCAGGAGGCTGAGGCAGGAGAACTGCTTGAACCCGGGAGGCAGAGGTTGCAGTGAGCCGAGATCACGCCACTGCACTCCAGCTGAGGGTGGTAGAGCGAAACTCAGAAAACAAAACAAACAAAATTAGCTGGGCTTGGTGGTGGTGCCAGTAATCCCAACTACTCCACAGGCTGAGGCGGGAGGCAAAGGTTGTAGAGAGCCGAGATTGCCCCACTGCACTCCAGCCTGGGTGATACAGTGAGACTCTTATCTCCAAAAAATAAAAAAATTCTAGGCTGGGGGCAGTGGCTCATTCCTGTAATCCCAGCACTTTGGGAGGCGAAGGTGGGTGGATTGCTTCAGGCCAGGAGTTGGAGACCAGCTTGGCCAACATGGTGAAACCCCATCTCTACTAAAAATATTAAAAAATTAGCTGGTGGTGGTGGTGCACACCTGTAATCCCAGCTACTCAGGAAGCTGAGGCAGGAGAATCACTTGAACCCAGGAGGCAGAGGTTTCAGTGAGCCGAGATCATGGCACTGCACTCCAGCCTGGGCAACAGAACAAAACCCAGTCTCAAAAATAAATGAATAAAATTAAAATTAAAAAAAATACTCGGACCCAGCTAGGTGTGGTCCTCACACCTGTAATCCTGACACTTTGGGAGGCTGATCACTTGAGCCCAAGAGTTTGAGACCAATCTGGGCAACATGGTGAAACCTCATCTCTACTAAAAGTACAAAAACTAGCCGTATGTGAGTGCATGCACCTATTGGCCTAGCTACCTGGGAGGCTGAAGTGAGAGGATCATGGGCCCAGGAGGTTGAGGCTGCTGTAAGCCAAGACTGCACCACTGCACTCCAGCCTGGGTGATAGAGTAAGATCCTGTCTCAAAAATATTCAGACCCGTTGAGTGCAGTGGTTTATGCCTATAATCCCAGCACTTTGAGAGGCCGAGGCAGGTGGATCACCTGAGGTCAGGAGTTCAAGACCAGCCTGGCCAACGTGACAAAACTCCGTCTCTACTAACAGTACAATAATTAGCTGGGCGTGGTGGCATTCGCCTCTAGTCCCAGCTATTGGGAAGCTGAGGCAGGAGAATCGCTCGAACCCAGGAGGCAGAGGTTGCAGTGAGCCAAGATCAAGGCACTGCACTTCAGCCTGGGCAACATAGTGAGACTCCACAGCAAAAAAAAAAAAAAAAAATCAAACCCTTTGATCAAAAAATGCCATTTTTGCAAATCTGGACTAAGGAAGAATAGGTTATGGGGGTGGGAGTGGTGAAGATTTATTTACAAGCATCCTCATCACAGTAACTAATGGAAACAGAAAATAGCTCCAATATCCAAAAATTGTCAATCTATAAAATGGTACCTAATATAGAGATTTATTTATTTTTTTGAGTCAAGGTCCTGATCTGATACCCATACTGGAGTGCAGCGATGTAATCATAGCTCACTGCAACCTTGAACTCCTGGGCTCAAGTTATCTTCCCTCCTTGGCCTCCCAAGTAGCTGGGACTGCAGGTACATGCCACCATGCCTTACTAATTTTTTTTTTATACCAATAGAGTCTTGCTGTGTTTCCCAGGCTGGTCTTGAACTCATGGCCTCAAGTAGTCCTCCCTCCTTAGCCTCCCAACATATTGAGATTACAGGCATGAGCCACCTCATCCAATCCTAACACAGACATTTTAATTGAAGTTTCCAAATATTTTTTATGACATGGAGAAAAGCTTATGAACATCATACGGTATAATCTGAACTACATTCTTAAAACTGTAGGTGCTAACAGATTATTCTGAATTCTGGGAATTGGAGTGATTTTTGTTTCTGCTCTACATTTCTCTGCACTTTTTTTTTTTTAAACGATGTGTATGTACCACTTTTGTAATCAGGAAATACATTGTGCTGGGCTTGTGGAAATGAGCCACCACTGCAGGCCAGGAAATACATTTTAAGGTGTAGTAGGATAAGGAATACTCTTTTTTTTTTTTTTTTTTTTTTTTTTGAGAGAAGGTCTCACTCTGTTACCAGGCTGCAGTGCAGTAGCACGATCTCGGCTCACCGCAACCTCCACCTCCTGGGTTTAAGTGATTCTCCTGCCTCAGCCTCCAGAGTAGCTGGGATTACAGGCGCCCACCACCATGCCCAGCTGATTTTTGTATTTTTAGTAGAAACAGGGTGTTACCATGTTGGCCAGGATGGTCTCGATCTCTTGACCTTGTGATCCACCCACCTCGGCCTCCCAAAGTGTTGGGATTACAGGTGTGAGCCACCATGCTCGGCCGGGAACACTTTAAGCTAACAGCTACTGGACTTGAACCTCACCAGGGTGGGTGCTTTATGGCCAGCTGTCTTGTTGATTGCTGTAACCTAGAACATGGCCGGGCACATGAGGTGTTTGTTCACATTTGACTACCAGCCATCCAAGCAGAAGACAAAGACCACCTTTTCATAAAGATGTAACCTCCAAAATGGAACCAAACCCAACACAGTCATGAACACAGTTTTATAAAATAGGCGCAGGACTTTTGGCCTTTAAGTCCAAACCACATGGGCTCCAGTCCTAAGTTCCAGGATTGGGAGAGAAAGCAAACACAGGGTTGTGGCTTTATCACTTGGCTTCAGTTCCCTTCTGCAAAGAGCTGAATGCTGTTGTTCATTAGTGAGAGGAAGCTTTATTTCCTTGTGCGAAAGAGCATTTCAAGTCAAGGTAGTCAGTCACACTTTGGCGAGTCTGGCTCACATAGGAACTGGGGGTAGAAGAGGTACTTTAAGTTGTACTCAGTTTGGGCTAAGCAGTTAGCAATCTCCTGGTCACACTTGCACAAGAGTTCTTGGCATTTGTTCTCTACCGGTCCTGGAAGAAGTGGGGAAACTAAGGTTAGAGCAGAGACCTGAAGAGACTCAAGGAAAACCAGTAAAGCAGGAGTCAGGACGGGTCATAAATTACATTTCTGAGACACTTGACAGTCCAGCACGTGATCTTCATATGCACAACTCCCCAGGAAGCAGGTGACGTCAGCCCATTTTACAGACAAGGAAATTGAAAGTTTCCAATGGAGAGTCCAGAGCCTGCCACACTGCTCTTCTGCATTGATATTGCACGATTTCTTTCTTTCCCTCTTTCCTTCCTCCCTCCCTCCTTCACTCCCCACTTCCTCCCTCCCTCCCTCCTCTCTCTCTCTCTCTCTCTTTCTCTTTCTTTCTTTCTCTTCCTTCTTTTCCTTTCTTTCTTGACAGAAGCTTGCTCTGTTGTCCAGGCTGGAGTTCAGTGGCACAATCTTGGCTCACTGTGGCCTCCACCTCCTGGGTTTCAAGTGATTCTCCTGCCTCAGCCTCCCGAGTAGCTGGAACCACAGGTGCATGCTACCACATCCAGCTAATATTTTTGTATTTTTAGTGGAAACAGGGTTTCACTATGTTAGCCAGGTCGGACTGGAACTCCTAACCTCAGGCGACCCACCTGCCTCAACCTCCCCACAGTGCTGGGATTACAGGCATGAGCCACCACACCTGGCCTGATTATTACATGATTTCATTTGGGGATTCACTTATTAAAAAAATAATAGTAATTTTTCTTTTTTAAGACAAGCTCTGTCTCTGTCACCCGGGCTGAAGTGCTGTGGCTAGACTGTGGCTTACTGCAGCCTCTGCCTCCTTGGCTCAAGCCATTCTCCCACCTCAGTATCCCATGTAGCTATGACTACAGGCCCACCACCATGCCCGGCTAGTTTTTGTATTTTTAGTAGAGATGGGGTTTTGCCATGTTGCCAGGCTGGTCTTGAATTCCTCAGCTCAAGTGATCCACCTGCCTCAGCATCCCAAAGTGCTGGGATAACAGGCACAAGCCACCACCCTTGGCCCATAATAATATATTCTTTTTGAGAAAGAGTCTTGCTCTGTCACCAGGCTGGAGTGCAGTGGCGCGATCTTGGCTCATTGCAACCTCTACCTCCCAGATTCAAGCAATTCTCCCTCCCTCCGCCTCCCAAGTAGCTGGACTACAGGCTTGCACCACCACACCCAGCTAATTTTTTTTCCTCTTTCTCTTTTTTTCTTTTTCTTTTTAAAGATGGGGTTTCACCATGTTGGTCAGGCTGGTCTTGAACTCTCGACCTCAGGTGATCTGCCTGCCTTGGCCTCCAAAGTGTTTGAATTACAGGCGTGAGCCCCCACGCCCGGCCCACCCAGCTAATTTTTGAATTTTTAGTAGACACGGGGTTTCACCATGTTGGCCAGGATGGTCTCGATCTCTTGACCTTGTGATCTGCCTGCCTCGGCCTCCCAAAGTGCTGGGATTGCAGGCGTGAGCCACCCCACCCAGCCCATAATAATAATTTTTTTAAAAACTATACTTCTCAATATACTAGGCATAGAAGGAACATACTTCCAAATAATAAAAGTGATATATGACAGACCCAGAGCCAACATCATACTGAATGGGGATGAGTTGAAAGCATTCATTCCCCCAAGAGCTGGAACAAGACAAGGATGCCTACTCTCACCATTTCTATTCAACATAGTTCTGAAAGTCCTCGCCAGAGCAGTCAGGAAAGAAATAAAAGGCATCCAAATCTGAAAACAGGAAGTCAAACTACCTTTGCCAATGGTATGATCGTATATCTAGAAAACCCTCAAGACTCCTCCAAAAGACTCCTATATTTGATCAATTAATTTAATAAAATCTCAGGTTACAAATCAATAGCACTGCTGTACATCGATAAGGACTAAGCTGAGAATCAAATCAAGAACTCAGTCCCTTTTATAATAGCTGAAAAAAAAGAAAGCCCCACCCAAAACCTAGTAATATACTTAACCAGGAATGTGAAAGATCTTTACAAGAGCTACAAAAGTGCTGAAAGAAATTATAGGTGACACAAATGGAAATACATCCCATGCTGATGGATTGTAAGAATTAATATAATGAAAATGACCATACTACCCCAAGCAATCTACAGATTCAATGCAGTGCCTATCAAATACCAACATCATTTTTCACAGAATTAGAAGAAACCATACTAAAATTTATATGGAACTAAAAAACAGCCAAATAGCCGAAGTAATCTTAAGCAAAAAGAATGCCCGGCCAGGCGAGGTGGCTCACACCTGTAATTCCAACACATTGGAAAGCTGAGGCTGGTGGTTCACTTGAGGTCAGGAGTTTGAGACCAGGTTGGCCAACATAGTAAAACCCCATTTCTACTAAAAATACACAAATTAGCCAGGCATGATGGTCTGCACCTATAATCCCAGCTGTTCAGGAGACTAAGGCAGGAGAATTGCTTTAACTCAGGAGGCAGAGGTTGCAATGAGCCGAGATACATGCCACTGCACTCCAACCTCGCTCACAGAGTGAAACTCCATCTAAAAAAAAAAAAAAAATCTGTAGGCATCAATACCCAGCTTCAAATTATACTACAAGACTATAGTAACCAAAACAGCATGGTACTAGTATAAAAGTATATACATAGACCAAAAGAACAGAATAGAAAACCCAGAAATAAAGCTAAACACTTACAACCAACTGATCTTCAATAAAGCATTCGAAAACATAAATTGAGAAATGACTCCCTATTCAGTAAATGGTACTGGGAAAATTGGATAGCTACATGTATAAGAATGAACTGGATCCCTCTCTTTCACCGTATACAAAACTCACCATATACATCAACTCAAGATGGATTAAAGACTTAAATCTAAGACCTGAAACCATAAGAATTCTAGAAGAAGCCAGTCGTGGTGGCCCACACTTGTAATCCATCACTTTGGAGGCCAAGGAGGGCAGATCACCTGAGGTCAGGAGTTTAAGACCAGCCTGACCAACATGGTGAAACCCCGTCTTTAAAAAAAAGAAAGAAAGAAAGAAAATTATTTAAAAAAAAAAAAAGAATTCTAGAAGAAAACCTGGGAAAAACTTCCCTTGATATTGGCTTAGGCAAATAATTTATGACTAAGACCCCAAAAGCAGATGCAACAAAAATAAAAATAAAGAAATGGGATGTAATTAGACTAGAAAGCGTCTGCACAGCAAAAGAATTAATCATCAGAGTAAACAGACAACCCACGTAATGAGAGAAACTACATTATTGCAAACTACATATTCGACAAAGGACTAATATCTAGAATCTACAAAAAAATCAACAAGAAGAACAAAACCTCATCAAAAATTGGACACGTGACATGAATAGACATTTCTCAAAAGATATAGGAATGGCCTTTAACAAAAAAATGTTCAACATCAGTCATCATCGGGGAACTGCAAATTAAAACTGCAATGAGATACTGTCTTACCCCAACCAGAATGGCCACTACTGAAAAGTCAAAATAGACATTAACCTGGATGTGGTGAAAAAATAATGCTTTTAGACTGTTAGTGGGAATATTGGTACAAACACCATGGAAAACCGTATGGAGACTTTTCAAAGAACTAAAAGTAAATTTACTATTCTTTCTAGCAATCCCACTAACTGGGTATCTACCCAAAGGAAAATAAATCATTATATCAAAAAGATATGTGCACGCGTATGTTTATCACAGCACAATTCACAATTGCAAAGATATAGAACCAACCTAAGTACCCATTAACTAATGGTAGATAAAGAAAATGTGGTTGCATATACACCATGGAATACTACTTAGCCATAAAAAAGAACAAAATGTCTTCTGCCGCAACTTGGGTGAAGCTGGAGGTCGTTATTCTAAGTGAAGTAACTCAAGAACATACAACCAAATACTGTATGTTCTCACCTATAAGTGGGAGCTATGCTATGAGTGCACAAAGGCATGCAGAGTGGTATGATGGACACTGGAGACTCGGAGGTGGGGAGGGATAAAAAGCTGTGTTGGGTCCAGTGTAGACTACTTGGGTAATGGGTGCATTAAAAGCTCAGACTTCACCACTATGCAATTCATCCATGTAACCAAAACCACTTGTACCCCTGAGGCTACTGAAATAAATAATAAGTAAAATTTTTAAAAAAAGAGTATTGCTGGTATGTTTTAATTTTTCACAACAAACATGTACTCAATTTGAATCAAAAAGTATGTAAATGAATGGTTGACTGAATGATTGCATAGATGGATCCCTCACCATGCACTCCTGCTTGTTGTTACTGGGGCAAAATTCTCACAACATAAAATCTATCATTTCAAAGGGTACAAGTCAGTGACATTTCGTACATTCAAAATGCTGGGCATCTATCAAGTTCTAAAACATTTTTATCACCCCAGAAGAAACCCCATTCCCCTGAAGCAGGAACTCCCCATGGATGGATGGATGGATGGATGATGGATAATGGATAGATGGATAGATGGATGATGGATGGATGGATGGATGATGGATGGATGATGGGTGGATGAATGAATAATGGATGGATGAGTGATGGATGGATGGATGAATGGATGGATAGATGGATGATGGGTGGATGGATGGATGATGGATAGATGATGGATGGATGGATGGATGGATGGATGGATAGATGGATGATGGGTGGATGGATGGATGAGTGATGGATGGATGGATGGATGAATGGATGGATAGATGGATGATGAGTGAATGGATGATGGATGAATAAATGGAGAGACAGATGAATGGATAAAAATAATATGTGTAAAAATTAGTAAGAGGGTGAGGCTCGGTGGCTCATGCCTGTAATCTCAGCACTTTGGGAGACTGAGGCTAGTGGATCACCTGAGGTCAGGAGTTCGAGACTAGCCCGACCAACATGAAGAAACCCCATCTCTTCTAAAAATACAAAATTAGCTGGGCACAGTGGCACATGTCTGTAATCCCAGCTAATCGGGAGGCTGAGGCAGGAGAATCACTTGAACCCGGGAAGCAGAGGTTGTGGCGAGCCAAGATCACACCATTGCACTCCAGTCTGGGCAACTTGAGTGAAGCTGGACCTCAACGCCGAGGTGAGTGGATCAGAAGGTCAAGAGATTGAGACCATCCTGGCCAATAAATAAATAAATAGCCAGGCGCTATGGCTCACATCTGTAATCCCAGTACTTTGGGAGGCCGAGGCAGGCGGATCACAAGGTCATGAGATCAAGACCATCCTGGCCAACATGGTGAAACCTCGTCTCTCCTAAAAATAAAAAAGAAAAATTAGCCAGGGGTGGTGGCAGGCACCTGTAGTCCCAGCTACTCGGAAGGCTGAGGCAGGAGAATGGCTTGAACCAGGAAGGCGGAGGTTGCAGTGATCCGAGATAACGGCACTCCAGCCTGGGTGACAGAGTGAGACTCCATCTCAAAAAAAAAAAAAAACAAAAAAAAAACAAAAAAAAAACAGAAAAGAAAGGCCGTACATTATCTCCCATGCTCACATGACCCCAGCAACTCTGGTCTGTTATTCCCATTATACAGATGAGGAAAGTGAGGCATCCAAGGTCACAGAACTGGGAAGGGATGGACCAGGATTCCAGCCCAGGATCTCCTGACCCAATCCCTGTGCTTGTCCTCCTACTCCTCTCTCTAAGCAACAAAGACTCCTGCAACGGCGAGACCTGGCCCCACTGCTCCATGACCTCAGGAACCCGATGGCACCATGTTTTGAAGAAGAATAAAAATTTTAAAGGAGAAACAACTCCCAAGGGTAAAGCTTAAAATTAAGGCCTGTCAGTAAATATTATTATAGGTTTAAATTTTTTTAATATATTTAAGTCAGGCCCATAAATGGAAAATGGGCCAAGCGTGTTACTAAATAAACAACTATGTTCAGAATATCTCCAAACAGAATAAGAGACTATTTTTACTAAAAATGTATAATAGATATTTTAGTTCCCTTCCTTTGGTTTAGAGAGGACAGTTCTGTAAACAGGCACTGACTCTACCAACAGACACACCAATATTTTATAAATATCATTTCCACCTGGGTAGGAGCAAGCAGAATATGAAAGTTGAAGGGAGAAAGGAAAGATTTTCAACAGATTTTTCACTGAAGCCTCATTTTACCGCCTCATCACCCACAACAAAAGGAGACAGTTTTGGGAACAAGTCACTTACTCTCCTTGAGCCTCCCCAACTTTATTTATGTCTTGTAGAGGTGGGGTCTCACTATGCTGCCCAGGCTGGTCTCAAACTCCTGGACTCAAGCTATCCTCCCACCTTGGCCTCTCAAAGTGCGGGGATTATAGGTATGAGCTACCATGCCCAGCCAGTTTCCACAACCCTAAATGAGAGGGTTGGATGAGATGATGCCTGGGGCATCTTCAGGCCTGAAAATGGATATTATATCATCATATTAATTCCGCTTTGCTCTTCTGCCAAGTCCTAATCCACAGTAAGGAGATACAGCTGAGAATCCATGCATATCTAAAAACATACTTCTAGTAGGCCAGGCACAGTGGCGCATGCCCGTAATCCCGGAATTTTGGCAGATGGATCATGAGGTCAGGAGTTCAAGACCACCCTGGCCAACATGGTGAAACCTCATCTCTATTAAAAATACAAAATTAGCCATGCTTTTTGGCAAGTGACTGTAGTTCCAGCTACTTGGGAGGCTGAGGCAGGAGAATCGCTTGAAACTGGGAGCTGGAAATTGCAGTGAGCCCAGACCGCACTGTTGCACTATAGCCTGGGCAACGAGCAAGAGTCCATCTCAAAAAAAAAATATATATATATATGGCCGGGCTTGCTGGCTCATGCCTGTAATCCCAGCATTTTGGGAGGCCAAGGCGTGTGGATCACGAGGTCAGGAGTTCAAGACTCCATCTCTACTAAAAATTAAAAAAATTAGCCAGGCACGGTGGCACGCTCCTATAATCCCAGCTACTTGGAAGGCTGAGGCAGAGAACAGCCTAAACCCGGGAGGCAGAGGTTGCAGTGAGCTGGATTACGCCACTGCACTCCAGCCTGGGCGACAGAGTGAGACTCAGAAAAACAAAAAAAAAGTTAAAAATTAAAAATTAGGCCGGGCGCGGTGGCTCACGCTTATAATCCCAGCACTTTGGGAGGCCGAGGTGGGTGGATCACAAGATCAAGAGATCAAGACCATCCTGGTCAACATGGTGAAACCCTGTCTCTACAAAAAATACAAAAATTAGCTGGGCATGGTGGTGACCACCTGTAGTCCCAGCTAGTCAGGAGGCTGAGGCAGGAGAATTGCTTGAACCCAGAAGGCAGAGGTTGTGGTGAGCTGAGATTGAGCCATTGCACTCCAGCCTGGGTAACAAGAGTGAAACTTCATCTAAAAAAAAAATAAAAATAAAAAATAGCCAGGTATGGTGGTGGACACCTGTAATTCCAGCTACTTGGAAGGCAGGAGAATCACTTAAACCTGGGAGGCGGAGATTGTAGTGAGCTGTGATGGCACCACTGCACTCCAGCCTGAATGACAAAGTGAGACTTCATCTCAAAAAAAAAAAAAACCAAAAAAATTAGCCAAGCATCGTGGCCCACACCTATAATCCCAGCTACTTAGGAGGCTGAGGCAGGAGAATAGCTTGAGCCCAGGAGTTTGAGGCTGTAGTGAGCCATGATCATGTCACTGCACTCCAGCCTGGATGGCAGAGCAAGACCGCGTCTCTAGGAAAAAAAAAAAAGTGAAACAGGATTACTGTTTGACCTAGCAATTCCACTCCTAGGTACATACTCCAAAACACTCAAATAAATACTTGTTCATCAGTGTTCACAGCAGCACTATTCACATAAACCAAAAGGTGGAAACAACCCAAATACACATGATTGAATGAATGGATAAACAAAATGTGCCCTATCCATGCAGCAGATATTATTCAGCCATGAAACTAATGGCGTACTGACACATCTACTAATACAACATGAACAGGCCAGGCGCGGTGGCTCACACCTGTAATCCCAGCACTAGCTACTCAGGAGGCTGAGGCAGGAGAATCACTTGAACCCAGGAGGCAGAGGTTGCAGTGAGCTGGTATGGTGCCACTGCACTCCAGCCTAGGTGACATAGGGCGATTTCGTGTAAAAAAAAAAAAAAAAAAAGGCCAGGCACAGTAGGTCACGCCTGTAATCCTAGCACTTTGAGAGGCCAAGCCAGGTGGATTACCTGAGCTCGGGAGTTTAAGACTAGCCTGGGCGACATGGTGAAACCCCATCTCAACTAAAATAAAAAAAAATTAGCCAGGCATGGTGGTGTGCACCTGTGCTACTTGGGAGGTTGAGACAGGAGGCTGAGACAGGCCCAAAATGGAATATTAAAAATAAATACAACCACCGGGTGTGGTGGCTCACACCTGTAATCCCAGCACTTTGGGAGGCCAAGTGGGGTGGCTCACCTGAGGTCAGGAGTTTGAGACCAGCCTAGCCAACATGGTGAAACTCCGTCTATACTAAAAATACAAAAATTAGCCAGGCCTGGTGGCAGGCGCCTATAATCCCAACTATTTGGGAGGCTGAAGCAAGAGAATCACTTAAACCCAGGAGGTGGAGGTTGCAGTGAGCCAAGATAGCGCCACTGCACTCCAGCCTGGGGGACAGAGCGAGACTGTCTCAAAAAAAAATTCTTTAAGGTTTTTGTAAAGATGCCTTTCTGGTCTCAAGTGACCCTCCTACTGGTCCTGCCCCCAGCCCCCTTCTGATGAACATTAGGTTGGTTATTATCTGATGTCATGTCTATCTTCTTCCTTGTTGTCCAGACATCAAACAAATAGGTTTCTTCAGGGTTTTCTTTTTCAAGTGCTCAGGGTTAAACCTCACTCACATTAGTGCTGGACACTACGGCTCACACCTCTAATCCCAGCACTTTGGGAAGCTGAGGTGAGCACATCAGTTGAGGCAGGGAGTTTGAGACCAGCCTGGCCAACATGATGAAACCCCATCTCTACTGAAAAAAGTACAAAAATTAGGTCAGGTGCAGTGGCTCATGTCTGTAATCCCAGCACTTTGGGAGGCTGAGGTGGGTGGATTACCTGTAGTCAGGAGTTAGAAACCAGCCTGGCCAACATGGCGAAACTCCATCTCTTCTACTACACACACACACACACACACACACACACACACACACCACACACAGCCAGCTGTGGTGGTGCACGTGTGTAGTCCGAGCTCCTCGGAAGGCTGATTCACAAGAATCACTTGAACCTGGGAGGCAGAGGTTGTAGTGAGCCAATGTCACGCCACTGCACTCTAGCCTGGGTGACAGAACTGGACTGACTCAAAAAATAAAATAAAATAAAATAAAATAGGCGGGGCGTGGTGGCTTGTGCCTGTAATTGCAGCACTTTGGGAGGCCAAGGCTGCCAGGTCACCTGAGGTTGGGAGTTCAAGACCAGCCTGACCAACATGGAGAAACCCCTTCTCTACTGAAAATACAAAATAAACCAGGCGTGGTGTTGCATGCCTGTAATCCCAACTACTCAGGAGGCTGAGGCAGGAGATTTGCTTGAACCTGGAAGGTGGAGGATTGTGGTGAGCTGAGATTATGCCATTGCACTCCAGCCTGGCCAACAAGAGCGAAACTCCATCTCAAAACAAATAAAACAAAATAAATATCACTTAATTAGATATACCCAACGGTGGTCTACACAGAGTTGGAAGCAGTGGTTATTGCAACAAGGGCATGGAAGTCATCAGGCTGTGCCAGGATGTCCAGTGGACACTAGGGGTGGGTGGCATGGTGGGGCTGGGGACTCACCGCACACGACGGTCTGATTGATGCACTGCCAGGAGTAGCGCTCTGTCTTGGGGCTGCAGCCGGCCTCCTCAGCTCGAGCATAGCAACAGTCGTGGTGATGGCAGCACCTGCAGATGTCACATGGGCAGGACAGCAGGTGGGTGAAGCTCTCCTGGCTCTCCTCCCTTGCCAGGACCATAGGTGATTGAAGACCCCCCAGGGAGGCACAGCATCCTCTGATCTTAGCTTTTTTTTTTTTTTTTTTGAGACAGAGTCTCACACTGTTGCCCAGGCTGGAGTGCAGTGGTACGATCTTTGCTCACTGCAACCTCTGTCTCCCAGGTTCAAGCAATTCTCCTGCCTCAGCCTCCTGAGTAGCTGAGATTACAGGTGACTACCACCACACCTGGCTAATTTTTTTTTCTATTTTTAGTAGAGATGGGGTTTCATTATGTTGGCCAGGCTGGTCTTGAACTCCTGACCTCATGATCCGCTCGCCTTGGCCTCCCAAACTGATGGGATTACAGGTGTGAACCACTGCACCTGGCATCTAAGCTTTTTTTCTTTCTTTCTTCTTTTTTTTAAGACAGGGTCTTGCTCCGTCGCCCAGGCTGGAGTGCAGTGACACAATCATAGCTCACCGCAGCCTTGAACTCCTGGGCTCAAGTGATTCTCCCACCTCAAGGTTTCAAGTAGCTGAGACTACAGGCAAATGCCACCATGCCTGGCTTTTTTTTAAATTTGTATTTCCTTTGAGGTAGGGTCTCTCTCTGTTACTCAGGCTGGAGTGCAGTGGCTCAATCATAGCTCACTTTAGCCTTGAACTCCTGGGCTCAAGTGATACTGTTGCCTTAGCCTCCCAAGTAGTTACTACTACAGGAACACAAACTCCTTTTTAGAAAAATTTTTCTAGATACAAGGTCTCACTATGTTGCCCAGGCTGGTCTTGAACTGCCAAACTCAAGCAGTCCTTCTACCTCAGCCTCCCAAAGTGCTGGGGTTACAGGTAGGAGGCACTGTATGCCTGGCCTTGTCTAAGCTGTTTCCCTGAAAATCCCCATCCTGGGTAATGATTTGATTGGCCTCACCATGCCCCGTCCTGCCTCCCTGGCTGTGCCCCAGCCTGGTCCCAAGCCAGGCTTGAATCCAAGCCCTGCCATTTATTGACTTTGCCCACACTTTACCCTCTGCTTGGGGTAACTCCGTGTCTGTTCTTTGTCCCTTAGGTCTCAGCCCAGCAGAAGCCCCTGCCTCTGTAGGTCATCCAGCCTCACCAGGCTATACCCTCTCATCAAATCAGATTCCCTCCCTTCTGGGCAGGTATATAATGAAACCCTCCTTAGAGGCAGGGTACGGTGGCTCCCACCTGTAATCCCAGCACTTTGGGAGGCCAAGGCTGGCAGATCATGAGGTCAAGAGATCAAGGCCAGCCTGGTCAACATGGTAAAAACCTGTCTCTACTAAAAATATAAAAATTAACCAGGCATGGTGGCAAGCGCCTGTAATCCCAGCTACTGGAGAGGCTGAGGCAAGAGAATTGCTTGAATCCAGAAGGAAGAGGTTGCAGTGACCCGAGATTGTGCCACTGCACTCCAGCCTGGCGACAGAGCAAGACTCCATCTAAAAAATAAACAAACAAATAAATAAATGTGTCTAAACATCCTGCTAAAAAAAAGAAAAAGAAAAAAGTAAATAAATAAGAAACAAACAACAACAAAAAGACCTCTGTGTCAATCGCAGCCTTCAAGCTAGGGGAGAGGCAGCTGAATTCCGCCCTCTGCTAACTAACTGTAGCTTTGTGGAAATGGGTGAGTGGCTGTTCCCTTCTGAGCTTCAGGGCCCCACCTTTAAAATGGGCATAACTGTCATGCCCATCTTTAAGAATAGCCCAGGGGGCAAATGAGGGGAAGTCATGGAGAGATCTCCTTCCACAACCTTGGACAGAGCAGGCATTTCTCATACAGTAGCCAGAGTGCAGAGGCTGCGGGCATGAATCCAAACAGACTGCATGGGTTCAAATCCCAGCTCCCACATCTTGCTAACTCTGTGGCCCCAGACAAGTCACTTAATATTTCTTTCTTTCTTTTTTTTTACCACCCCGCCCCCCCACCACCCGCCAAGTCTTGCTCTGTTACCCAGGCTGCAGTGCAGTGGCGCAAACTTGGCTCACGGCAACCTCCACTTCCCTGGTTCAAGCAGTTCTCCTGTCTCAGCCTCCTGAGTAGCTGGGATTACAGGTGTCTGCCACCATGCCTGGCTAATTGTTGTATTTTTACTAGAGATGAAGGTTTTGCCATGTTGGCCTGGCTGGTCTGGAACTTCTGACATCATGAACTGCCCACCTCGACCTCCCAAAGTGCTGGGATTACAGGGGTAAACCACTGCAGCCGGCCAAGTTACTTAATATTTCTGGGCCTTGGTTTCTTCATCTGTGAAATGGGATTGTTATGAGGACTCAAAGAGATTCCCAGAGCAGTTCCTAGTGCATAATTAGTCTGGTTGCTTCTGTGTGTGTGTGTGTGTGTGTGTGTGTGTTTAATATAGAGACAGGGTCTCCCTATGTTGATCATCCTGCCTCGATGTCCCAAAGTAGTGGGATTACATTTGTGAGTCACCACACCTGGTCACTTTATACTATTATTATTATTTTATTTTAAGACAGGGTCTCCCACTGTCACCCAGGCTGGAATATAGTCGTTCGATCTTGGCTCACTGCAAACTCCACCTCCGAGGTACAAGCAATTCTCTTGCCTCAGTCTCCCAAATAGCTGGAATTATAGGCGCCCACCACCACATGAAGCTGTTTCACATTTTTAGTAGAGATGGGGTTTCACCGTGTCGGCCAGGCTGGTCTCGAACTCCTGACCTCAAGTGATCTGCCTGCCTCAGCCTTCCAAAATGCTGGGATTGCAGGAATGAGCCACCGCTCCTGGCCAATTTTTTAGGGCAACATAATCAGCCCATGGCCAGGGTAAGGAACAGCTGGTGCCAAGATCTGGCCTCACTGGCCATGTTATCCAAGAGGCCTCTGCCTGCCTGCAAAGTAGTACCACATACTGGGATCTCCCTGGACCAAATCCCAGCTTCAGTTTTGGGTATTTCCTCACAAGCCTTGACTACCCGGGAGTAGGGGACTTTGTAGCCTGGGCCCAGGCCTGCACTTACCAGTCAATGGCATCGCGGGGCTGGCCACCACCTCCCAGGCCACAATAGCAACCGTATTTCATATAGGCCAGGGGGGTTCGGGAGCCAACGCAACCCACAGTTCCTGCCAGTTCCAGGATCCCACGCCGGTGCACATGTGACTTCCTGGAGGCTGGGGAGTAAACAAAGGTGAGAGGCTGCAGGTCAGGGCTTCCCAGACCCCGGGGAAGGGCATTAGCCTGAGAAAAGCCTAGATGTTACAGCCTGGCTTTCTGGGTTTCAATCCTACTTCCTAGCTGTGTGATCTTGGACAAATTCCTACCTTCTCTGGGCCTTGGTTTCCTCATCTGTGAAATGGAGGATAAGCGCACTTCAGCTCAAAAAATGAAATGAGATAATGAGCCAGGCGCAGTGGCGCATGCCTGTAATCCCAGCGCTTTGAGAGGCCAAGGCGGGCGGATCACCTGAGGTCGGAGTTTGAGACCAGCCTGGCCAACATGATGAAACCCCATCTCTACTAAAAATTAAAAAATTAGCTGGGTGTAGGGGCAGGCAGCTGTAATCCCAGCTACTCTCCTGAGGCAGGAGAATGGCTTGAACCCAGGAGACGGAGTTTGCAGTGAGCCGAGATAGCGCCATTGGACTCCATCCTGGACTATAAGAGTGAAACTCCATTTTGAAAAAAAGAAAAACAGAAAAAGAAAAAAAGAAATGAGATAATGAGTATAAAGCCCCCGGCATGTAAAAAGGCTAACTATCATAATCCCGCTGGGCGAGGTGGCTCACGCGTGTAATCCCAGCACTTTGGGAAGCCAAGAAGGGCAGATCACCAGAGATCAGAAGTTCAAGACCAGCATGGCCAACATTGTGAAACCCCATCTCCAGTAAAAATACAAAAATTAGCTGAGCACAGTGGCTCCTGCTTGTAAGCCCAGCTACCCAGGAGGCTGAGGCAGGAGAGTGGCCTGAATCTGGGAGGTGGAGTTTGCAGTGAGCCAAGATTGTGCCACAGCACTCCAGCCTCGATGACAGAGCAAGACTGAAAAAAAGAAAAAAGTGTAACTATTATAATCAATGTCTTCAGGGTAGCCATGAAGGAAAAGAAAAGAGTCGTGCATGAAATGTTTGTCCAGTTGGCTGTGTTGGGCACTGGGTGTCAGGGATGCTCCTACAGGTGTCTGTCACCAAGGTGGGCTCCTCTGTGGTAGCTTCCCAAGCCCTGGGACTGCCCTGTGCCCATGACTGGCCCTCCAGACTCAGGCTCAGGGCCCTTGGCATCTCCTTTTATTTTCACTGCCCAGACAGGAAGGACCCTTGGCCTGAGCCCAGCCATTTTTCCAGATCCTGGCACAGCTTGGACACATAATGGTTCCCAATGCATGTGACTGGAACCCCTGCACTGGACAGGTGGGAAAGGAGGCCAGCCAGGAAGGATGACTCCTGAGCAGAGGCTCCTGCCCAGGCTTCCGACTTGCAAACCAGTGCTCCTTCCTCCTCACACAGTAACAGCAGGGGGAGGTCACCTTTCGGGTTGAAAGAGCCGATTGTCACCAGCAATAGAGCACAAACTCACACCCAGGCCTGCCTGCTTCCTGCATATCTGTTCTGTACAACTCCAGGAGCTTGATGCATTGTGTTTGATCTTTTTTTTTTGAGAAGGAGTTTTGCTCATGTTGCCCAGGCTGGAGTACAGTGGTGCAATCTCGGCTCACTGCAACCTCTGCCTCCCGGGTTCAAGCGATTCTCCTGCCTCAGCCTCCTGAGGAGCTGGGATTACAGGCACACACCACCACACCAAGCTGATTTTTGTATTTTTAGTAGAGATAGGGTTTCCCCATGTTGGCCAGGATGGTCTTGAACTCCTGACCTCAGATGATCCACCTGCCTTGGCCTCCCAAAGTGCTGGGATTATAGGCATGAGCTACCCCTCTCGGCCTGATCATCTTGTCTTTTTTTTTTTTTTTTTTGAGACAGAATCTCACTCTGTCACCCACACTGGAGTACAGTGGCACAATCGTACCTCACTGCAGCCTCCAAATCCTGGACTCAAGTGATCCCCCTGCCTCAGCCTCCAGATGTACAGGCATGCACTATCATGCCCGGCTAATTTTTAAACTTTTAGTAGAAATGGGGTCTCACTATGTTGTCCAGGCTGGTCACAAACTCCTGTCCTCAAGTGATTCTCCTGCCTTGGCTTCCCGAGATGCCGGGGTTCCAGGCGTGAGCTGCCGCGCCCAGTCTCGTTTCTGTTTAATCATGTTTTCATCGTACTGACTTTTTTGAGAAGTCCAGGCCAAATTTAAATTCAATTTTGTCTTTTTTTTTTTTTTTTGACTCAGAGTTTCATTGTGTTGCCCAGGTTGAAGTGCAGTGGCAGAGTCTCGGCTCACTGCAACCTCCACCTCCAGGTTCAAGCAATTCTCCCGCCTCAGCCTCCTGAGTAGCTGGGACTACAGGTGTGCACCACTATGCCTGGCTAATTTTTGTATTTTTTAGCAGAAACGGGGTTTCATCATATTGGCCAGGCTGGTCTCGAACTCCTGACTTCCTCATCTGCCTGCCTCGGCCTCCCAAAGGGCTGGGATTTTAAGTGTGAGCCACTGTACCCGACCAATTTTGTCTTTTTATCAGTGGAAAAAGTAGCATATTTATGTGGAGGGATGGACGAAGATGAATCAAACAGGAAGAAAATGTAAAAACGAATTTGGAGTTCAAGCTTCGCCTTCCTCTCTGGATAATGAGTCCTTACTCTCCCAGCAGCCCACACCTCTATCTCAAACCTCCCATGGCTCCCAAGAGTCTGGATAAAGCTCAGGGGTCTCAAGGCACCCCAAGACCTCCAAGACCCAGGGGTAATCAGCCCCTCCCACTGCTCCCTCATACTCTCACACAGCAAGAGTAATTTACTGTCCCTCCAGTTGTGCCTGGTCATGCAGACACTCTGCTGCTCAAATGCCCTCACCCCATCCTCACCCTCCTCCCAGACCACCTCCCTGCAGAATCCATGTTGCCCGCCAGGTGGCCACAGGGACCCTCTCCATACTGTCTGCTTGTGGCAGTGCCCTCAGCCTGGGGGGTCTTCCAGAGCAGATCTCTGCCCAAGCACGGTGGCTTACATCTGTAATCCCAGCACTTTGAGAGGCTGAGGCAGGTGGATCACGTGAGGTCAGGAGTTCAAGACTAGTCTGGCCATGATGGTAAAACCCCATCTCTACTAAAAATACAAAACTTAGCCAGGCATAGTGGTGCGTGCCTGTAATCCTAGCTACTTGGGGAAGCTGAGGCAGAGAATTGGTTGAACCCGGGAGGTGGAAGTTGCAGTGAGCCGAGATTACGGCAGTGCACTCCGTCTCAAAAAAAAAAATTAGCCGGGCATGGTGTAGTCCCAGCTACTTGGGAGGCTGAGGCAGGAGAATCTCTTTTTTTTTTTTTTTTGGAGAACGGGGTCTCGCTATATTGCCCAGGCAGGTCTCTAACTCCTGGGCTCAAGCTATCCTCCGGCCTCTGCCTCCCTAAGAGCTGGGATTACAGGCGCGAGCCACAGAGTCCAGCCAGGAGAATCTCTTGAACCCAGGAGATGGAAGTTGCAGTAAGCTGAGATCGTGCCACTGTACTCCAGCCTGGGGGACACCAAGATTCCCTCTCAAAAAAAAAAAAAAAAAAAAAGCTGATCTCTGAATTCAGCTGCCCTGGCACACACTGAGCTTCCAGAAACAGTCCCTTGACCTGTAACTCCACCAAACCCTGGGGAACATGCCTACCCTGAGCACCTGTGACAATGTCCCAGTCCCAACACCACACCCCAAAGCTGTCCTCAGAGGTTCCCCTGCCACCCTCCCTGATCACTCTCTGGTATCTCAGAGCCCTAGCAACAGCCCTTCAGAGGGAGGGTTCCAGGCATGGGGCGGGCACCAAGCACTGTGCTTATAACCCAGGAAAACACTCCCACTGTGCCAACATAGGTGGGGCAGGTCATGTTGGGGTCTGTTTGCCCTGTCTGCCCGCTGCAGCCTCTTGGGGAGTGCCAGGGCCGTCTGGGCATCCTGTGAGCCCCAGGGTCTATGTACACATATGTGTGTCTGTGCGTGTATGTGTCCACTGAGCATCTGAATTTGTCCTGAGTGCTGTCTTGGGTGTCCTTGAGCTGTGTGTGCCTGTGTCACCCTCGAGATATCTCAGTATTTTTGCCTGTGGGAGCCCCACACCGTGAGCTGCACAGCTGAGTGCCCAGGTGAGTCTGGGGGCTGGTCCTGTGTCTGTGCATCTGCGCAGGTGGTGTCTGCCTATTCCTCTGTGGGTGCATGTATCTTGCACCCCAGAAAGGGGCAGTCACCCAGGGGACCTCTCTACGGTGACCCCAAAGGATGGATAGTGAGATGGGACAATATGTTCTCTTTTGGGGGCGGTTCACAGGGATTTGTTGTATAGGGGGACAATACGTTTTTCTCCCATCCCCAAGCCAGGCCCTTTCTGCCCCTGCTCCTCCCACCCTCTGGTATCTCAGACCTCAGGAGCAGGTGGAGTGAAGGATAAGTTAGGGGACCCCAGATAAGAACAACCAGGAGGCTTCTGGGCTGCTGGAGAGGGTCACAGCCAGTTGTGGTGAGAGGGCCAGGACAGAACTCTGCGCCCCTGGGGAAGAGGTGGACTGGTTCTGAGTCCCTGAGAGGGGTGAGTTGGACCCTGCAGAGGGCTGAGGCGCAGAGTGTGGGTGAGCATTAGAAGAGCGAGCTGGGGGCTGTAGGGATCCTGGGACTTGGGGAAGGACCGGGAGGCAGGGCTGCTGGGTTCCTAGGGAGGGCAGGAGGAGCCCCCGGAACTCCGGAGTGCAGGGAAAGCCCCTTCCTCACTCACCCTCGTTGGACCTGGAGCCAGGTCCCAGCAGCAGCAGCAGCAGCAGCGACGGCAGCAGCAGGAAGAGCATGATTGGCAGGCACACAGGTAGCGGCCCCATCGCAGGGTGGCAGGTGTGGGACAGCGCTACCGGGCCACTGGAGGCACCAAGCCAGGCCAATCCCCATCCTGGCCGCCGCGCCCGGCCCTGCCCCCACCTCACCTTCCCTCCGGGCCCGGGCGGAGCCAGCTAGGGGCGGGCACGTGGGGCGGCGCAAAAGCGCCCTGATCTCTGCATCTTGGTCACTGAAGGGGCTCGAGAGGCCACCAGGGTGCTAGGGACAGGACCAGGAGTCAGGCCCCAGGACGTCTCTTCGGAGTAAGGGAGCAAAAGGGGCTTCTTTGATGTTATTATTCCCCCACCTGGGCACCCAAAGGGAGCAGAAGACTTGGAGGAGGAGGAGTCCTGAATTTACTTCAACATTTTATTTGGCCAGTGCGGTGAATCACACATCTCAGCACTTTAGGAGGCCTAGGCAGGTGGATCACGTGAGGTCGAGAGTTCGACACCAGCCTGACCAACATGGAGAAACCCCATCTCTACTAAAAATACAAAATTAAGCTGGACGTGGTGACTCATGCCTGTAATCCTAGCACTTTGGGAGGCTGAGGCAGGTGGATCACCTGAGATCAGGAGTTCGAGACCAGCCTGGCCAACATGGTAAAACCCTGTATCTACTAAAAATACAAAAATTAGCTGAGCTTGGTGGCGTGTGTGTGTAATCCCAGCAACTCGGTAGGCTGAGGCAGGAGAATTGCTTGAACGTGGGAGGCCAAGGTTTCGGTGAGCTGAGATCGTGCCACTACACTCCAGCCTAGGCAACACAGCGAGACTCCATCTCAAAAAAAAAAAAAAAAAAAAATTAACTAGACATAGCGGCATAGGCCTGTAATCCCAGCTACTTGGGAGGCTGAGGCAGGAGAATCACTTGAATCTGGGAGGTAGAGTTTGCGATGAGGCAACAAGAGAGAAACCCATCTCAAAAAAAAAAAAAAAAAAAAAAAAGGCCAAGCACCATGGCTTACGCCTGTAACCCTAGCACTTTGGGAGGCCGAGGTGGGTGGATCACCTGAGGTTGGGAGTTCGAGACCAGCCTGACCAACATAGAGAAACCCTGTCTCTACTAAAAGTACAAAATTAGCTGGGCATGGTTGTGCATGCCTGTAATCTAGCTACTCAGGAGGCTGAGGCAGGAGAATCACTTGACCCCAGGAGGTGGAGGTTGCAGTGAGCCAAGATCATGCCACTGCACGACGGCCTGGCTAACAGAGTGAGACTCTGTCTCACAAAAAAGAAAAAAGAGAGATTGAATGGGAACCTCAGGGGGTGGAATCTGTGCTGTCATGAATGTTTGCTAGAGAGATTTGCAAGAGAAAAACAAATCCTCGTCTGTGGTCTGTTCTAGGATCCGTGTGTTTCCTTTAACTCTTAGCACAAGTGAATCCATCTTGGTTTGGTTTGGTCTATTGGGACCTAGTGCATGGGCTCAGTTCAAAAACATGACCTCTCATAATTTTGTTCAAGAAAATTCCCACTGGGCGCAGTGGCTCGTGCCTGTAATCCCAGCATTTTGGGAGGTTGAGGTGGGTGGATCACGAGGTCAGGAGTTTGAGACCAGCTTGGCCAACATGGTGAAACCCTGCTCTACTAAAAATACAAAAATTAGCCGGGTATGGTGGTGTGCACCTGTAATCCCAGCTACTCAGGAGGCTGAGGCAGGAGAATCCCTTGAGGTTGCAGTGAGCTAAGATCATACCACTGCACTCCAGCCTGGGCAACGGAGTGAGATTCTGTCTCAGAAAAAAAAAAAGAAAGAAATAAACAAAAGAAAATTTTGCCTTTTTGGTCAGGCTGTCAGATAGGCAAGAGAGTGACCAAAACTTGGGCCTTAGAGCCACTCTCAATTACCATCGTTTTGCATTTCTGGTCTCAGCACATCACCCATAGTTTACAGTGTCCTCATGGTCACACATTTCTTTCAGCTCTTGTCCTTTCAGTTGAAGAGAGACCATATGACATTCTAGAGATGACTGCAAGCATTTACAACCTTTGAGAGAATCCAGTGCTCTGGGGATGCCATGACTATGACTCTGTGGGGGATAATACCAAGAGTTTGGAATCTACTCCTTACCCAGGGTCCCCATAAACCAAACCTCCCAAAATCAAACAGATCAAAGAATGAGCTAAAGAGTCTACTCACTTAACTAAGCAGTCTCTTTGTTTTTAGTTTTAGTTTTGTTTTTTTATTGAGACGGAGTTTTGATCTTATTGCCCAGGGTGGAGTGCAATGGTGCAATCTTGGCTCACCGCAATCTCTGCCTCCCACGTTCAAGCCATTCTCCTGCCTCAGCCTCTGGAGTAGCTGGGAGCACAGGCATGTGCCACCATACTCAGCTAATTTTGTATTTTTAGTAGAGACAGGGTTTCTCCACATTGATCAGTCTGGTCTCAAACTCCCAACCTCAGGTGATCCGCCTGCCTTGGCCTCCCAAACTGCTAGGATTGTAAGCGTGAGCCACCAAGCCTGGTTAGCAGTCTCTTTGTTAATCTGCTACAACGGAATCCGTGTAATACCTGATGTTTTCTCCATAGGCCGTGAGTGCCAGCAGATACACAGATACTTCTCTGTTCAGTCAGTTCTATCATAACTTTCAAAATAGCATTTCTCTTTTTTTTTTTTTTCTGAGACAGAGTCTTGCTTTGTTGCTCTGTTGCCCATCCTGGAGTACAGCAGCTTGATTTTGGCTCACTGAAACCTCCACCTCCCGGGTTCAAGCAATTCTCCTGTCTCAGCTTCCTGAGTAGCTAGGATTACAGGCGCATACCACCATACCTGGCTAATTTTTGTACTTTTAGTGGAGACGGGGTTTAACCATGCTAGCCAGGCTGGTCTCAAATTCCTGACCTACTAATCCTCCTGTCTGGGCCTCCCAAAGTGCTGGAATTACAGGCATGAGACACCATGCCTGGCCACAAGAGAATTTAAAGTCTGTTGTGTAACTATAGCCTTTACAATAGAATCTGCTATAGAACCTATCACAAGGAATATATTTCTCTTTTTTTTTTTTTGAGACAGACCCTTACTCTGCCGGCAGGCTGGAGTGCAGTGGCGTGATCTTGGCTCACTGCAACCTCTGCCTTCCGAGTTCAAGCAATTCTTCTGCCTCAGCCTCCCAAGTAGCTGGGGCTACAGGCACGCACCACCATGTCCAGCTAACTCATATTTTTAGTAGAGACGGGGTTTCACCATGTTGGTGAGAAGGGTCTCGATCTCTTGACCTCATGATCTTCCCGCCTTGGTCTCCCAAAATGCTGGGTTTACAGGCATGAGCCACTACCATGTTTCTATGTTTATTATTATTATTTTTTGAGATGGAGTTTAGCTTTTGTTGCCCAGGTTGAAGTGCAATGGTGTGATCTCGGCTCACTTCAACCTACACCTCCCAGGTTCAAGCCATTCTGCTGCCTCAGGATATACAATGGCTTGATCTCGGCTCACCACAACCACCGCCTCCCGAGTTCAGCAGTTCTCCACCCTCCTGAGTAGCTGAGATTAAAGCCGTGTACCACCACGCCTGGCTAATTTTTGTCTTTTTAGTAGAGATGGGGTTTCACCGTGTTGGCCAGGCTGGTCTCGAACTTCTGATCTTGTGATCTGCCTGCATCGGCCTCCCAAAGAGCTGGGATTACAGGCACGTGTCATCATGCCCAGCTAATTTTCATACTTTTAGTAGAGATGGAGTTTCACCATATTGGCCAAGCAGATCTCGAACTTCTGACCTCAGGTGATCCACGTGCCTCAGCCTCCCAAAGTGCTAAGATGACAGATGTAAGCCACCAGGCCCAGCCCATGAAGGATATAATTCTCTTTTCTTTCCTTTTCTTTTTTTTTTTGAGACTGAGTCCCACTCTGTTGCCCATTCTGAAGTGCAGTGGTGTGATCTCAGCTCACTGCAACTTCTGCCTTCTGGTTCGAGCCATTCTCCTGCCTCAGCCTCCTGAGTAGCAGGAATTACAGGCATGCCCCACCGCATGTGACTAATTTTTGTATTTTTAGTAGAAATGGGATTTCACCATGTTGGTCAGGCTGGTCTCAAATTCCTGACCTCATGACCTTCCCTTCTCAGCCTCCGAAAGTGGTGTCGGGATTACAGGTGTGAGCAACTGCACCCAGCTGATGGATATATTTCTTATTCTTTCTAATTTATTTTTAATAAAGACAGGGTTTCACCATGTTGGTCAGCCTGGTCTTGAACTCCCGACCTCAGGTGATCCGCCTGCCTTGGCCTCCAAAGTGCTTGGATTACAGGTGTGAGCCACCTCGCCTGGCCAGGATATACAATGGCATGGTCTCGGCTCACCACAACCACCGCCTCCCGAGTTCAGCAGTTCTCCTGCCCAAGTAGCTGGGATTACAGGCATGTACCACCATGCGCAGCTAATTTTTTGTCTTTTTAGCAGAGATGGGATTTCTCCATGTTGGTCAGGCTGGTCTCAAACTCCTGACCTAAGGTGATCAACCTGCCTTGGCCTCCCAAAGTCCTGGGATTACAGGCCTTAGCCACCGTGCCCAGCCCAACGGATGTATTTCTAATTATTGCTTCTTTTACTCCAAACCATGGAAAAAGGATCTAGTCGGCTGAGCGCAGTGGCTCACGCCTGTAATCCTAGCACTTTGGGAGGCCGAGGTGGGCGGATCATGAGGTCAGGAAATCAAGATGATCCTGGGCAACATGGTGAAACCCGGTCTCTACTAAAAATTTGAAAATTGGCTGGGCGTGGTGGCAAGTGCCTGTAATTCCAGCTACTTGGGAGGCTGAGGCAGGAGACTTGCTTGAACCAGGGAGTTGGAGGTTACAGTGAGCAGAGATTGTGCCACTGCTCTCCAACCTGGCCACAGAGCGAGACTCTGTCTCAAAAAAAAAAAAAAAATCTAACAGTTGATGCCCTTCAAAAAGAGTCTTGTGGCAATGATCTCTTTAACCATGATGTGGTATAAGAGGAGTAAACCAATGTTCTGATTCTGATTATGAGGCGACGTATACACATTAAAGTTTCTCACTTCCATTGGGCCGTCATCTTATTTTGTTTTTTGACTTGGAGTCTCACTCCGTCACCCAGGCTGGAGTACAATGGCACAGTCTGGGCTCACTGCAACCAACACCTCCCAGTGATTCTCCTGCCTCAGTCTCCTGAGTAGTTGGGATTACAAGTGCCCACGACCACGACCGGCTAATTTTTGTATTTGTAATAGAGACAGGGTTTCACCATGTTGTCCAGGCTGGTCTCAAATTCCTGAACTTGTGATCCACAGGCCTCTGCCTCCCAAAGTCCGGGAAATACAGGGGTGAGCCACTGCGCCTGGCCATCCTTCAAAGTATATAGTTATCTATGTATAGGGCTGGCTGGAAACTCCTTCACAAATAAAAATATACCCCGTAAGTGCACAGAACAGATCCCTTTTCCACTTCTATTGTTCATAGAGGCATAAGCAAGGAAAAAATATTCAAAGATAGGAGTCTCATGATACTAGAGAAATCTTGAAGCCGGGTGTGGTAGCTCACACCTGTAATCCCAGCAGTTTGGGAGGCTGAGGCAGGCGGATCACCTGAGGTGAACAGCTCGAGACCAGCCTGGCCAACGTGGGGAAACACTGTCTCTACTAAAAATCCAAAAATTAGAGGCTGGGCATGGTGACCCACAGCTGTAATCCCTGCACTTTGGGAGGCCGAGCTGGGTGGATCACCTGAGGTTAGGAGTTCGACACCAAGCTGGCCAACATGATGAAACTCTACTAAAGGCCAACTCTACTAAAAATACAAAAAAATTCCCCATGTGTGATGGCAGGCACCTGTAATCT